AATTGACTTCTAACTTGGTTTGCTTGCTCTATAACTTCCTGGACTTGGATTGGTTGACTTCCAAAGCTTGTGTTGGGTTTCCTCCTCGACATTTGAACCTTGAAAAATCACAATACGCCTACAAACAAATCAAACCAAACCGAAAACAAGAGTATAGAAAAGAAATGCATAAAAAAGGATAATAAAGTCGATAAAAACATGCATTTCTCTAGATTAACACACAAGCACGCAAAGCAAGCATTATTACCTAAAAACTTGATATAAAAGGCAAAAATTGATCATAAAACTAAGAAGAAAACTACCCTATGAGTGCCATAAATGACACTCATCAACCACCCATAATAATGCATTATATCTAACTGTAGGGTGCAAGGGATATAACATCCCACTTACTTTAGTTGATAATGGGCCTGCCGTTAATGTGTGCCCATTGCGAACCGCAAAATATCTAGGCCTAAACCCAAAAAAAGATTTCCATGCAACAACACAAAGCATTAGGGCCTATGATAATTCAAGTAGATGAGATTTTAAGGAAGCTGAGAATTTAGGCTTTGTGGCCATTACTGAGTCTTTACTCTCTAGTTCTAAGGATGAGGATCCCGAAAAGGATTCCTCTCTTGATGTACTTTCTTTTGATTTCAATAAGATGAGCTCTATATCCGAGTATATGCCTTCTCTTGAATCTTTTGAATGCTATAATAATCAATCTAACCAAAATCCTAATGGAAAAAGAAGATGAAGAAAAGACATGCTAATGGATGGATACGCTGGTTACAACCAAATCCTAATGGAAAAAGAAGATGAAGAAAAGACATGCTTTATTACTCCTTGGGGTACTTATTGCTACACAGTTATGCTATTTGGTCTTAAAAATGCAGGAGCTACGTACCAGAGAACGGCTACGACTCTCTTGCATGATATGATGCACAAAGAAATTGAGATATATGTGGATGATATGATCGTAAAATCTAAACATAGAATGGGTCATTCAAAAGCTTTACACAAATTCTTTGCTCGAATTAAAGAGTACAAGATGAGATTAAACCCACAAAAAATGCGCTTTCGGGGTAACTTTCGGCAAGTTACTCGGATACGTAGTAAGCACACGTGGCATTGAGATCGATCCCTCGAAAATAAAGGCAATAGTTGACATGCCTCCCCCGCAAACAAAAAAACAAATTATATTAGGGGGTTTCTTGGCAAATTACAGCACATTAGTCGATTCATCAATAAGTTGACAATGACTTGTGAGCCAATATTCAAAAAATTGAACAAAGAAGAAAAACATGAATGGGACGACCAATGTTAAGAGGCCTTTGAGAAAGTAAAAAACTATCTCAAAAGTCCTCCAGTTTTAGCACCACCAGTACCCAAACTACCTCTTAGACTTTATATCACTGTCACGGACACGGACATGGCCACAGGGGCCATGCTCGCACAAGAAGTAGATAAAATAGAACGTGCAATATACTACATTAGTAAAAAGTTTATCCAATTTGAAACAAAATATAGCACTTTAGAAAAAACGTGTCTAGCATTAGTGTGGGCAACTAAAAAACTACGACATTACATGTTCCCTCGCACCACTCATGTGATTTCTCAACACAATCCAATAAAGTATTTGTTTGAACAACCACCCATATAAGGAAGAATATCCAAGTGGTTGGTGATTTTGGCTGAATTCAACCTCAAATATATTCCTGAAAAATCAATAAAAGGAAAAGTAATATCCGATTTTCTGGCCCAACATCCCATTCAAACAAGTTGTAAAGAAGCTACTCATCTTCCAGATGAAGAAATTCTCATGACACAAGATGACAAATGGGTAATGTACTTCGATGGCGCATCCAACCAAAAAGGGTGTGGCATAGGAATGTTACTAATAAGTCCAGAGGGAGCACATACTCCAATCTCTGCCAAACTAGACTTTGAGGCTACTAATAATGTCGTAGGATGTGAAGCGTGCATTATTAGATTAGAAGCAGCAGCTAGCATATGTGTGCAAAAATTAGAGGTATATGGAGATTCCAGTCTAATAATAAATCATATACTTAAAAAATGGAAAATAAAAAACTCCACAATGATATTATACCAAGCACACCTAGAGCAACTCATCGAGCAATTTAATTATATTGATTTTAAATATCTCCCAAGGGATGAAATCAATTTGCCGATGCGCTAGCAAAATTAGCCTCAATTATCAACATTCTTGATCAATTAAATATGATGACATTATGCATTGAAAGAAGAGATGAAACAGCTTATTGCAACACAATAGAGGAATCAAACGACATCGAAGGGGAAAGCCCCTGGTATGATCATATCCTCCAATATATTAATCATGGCACATATCCTGCAAATACTTCATTTAAAGACTAGCATGCCTTGAGAACGCTCGCAGCCCATTATGGGATGGTTAATGGTCGATTGTGTAAAGAAGGGCCAAATGGTCAAAGCTTATTATGTATAGACCAACCCGAGACCACACGCCTCATGGAGGATAATCACAAAGGTGTTTGTGGACCTCACGTGAATGGAAAAATGCTCGCTAAAATAATCTCACATTTAGGGTACTTTTAGTCCACAATGGAACATGATTGCATTCAATATGTCAAGAAATGTCCAAAGTGCTAAATGTTTGCTAACTTTCAACACCCTCCACCATCTGAACTATATAATTTCACTTTCCCTTGGCCATTCTCAACTTGGGGAATTGACATTATTGGTAAATTTCTCCAATAACGAGGACATGAGTACGTATTAGTAGTCATCGACTACTTCACTAAGTGGATCGAGGCCGCCTCTTACGTTAATATCACTTCTAAACTGTTGCAAAGTTTCTCGAACGAAACATATTTTAGAGATATGGAGTTCCACACGAACTAATTAGTGACCAAGGATCTCAATTCAAAGCAGACATTGAATCCCTCTTGGCTCGGGACAAAGTAAAACATCACCATTCTTCCCCATATCAACCTCAAATGAATGGAGCAGTAGAATCGGCAAATAAAAACATAACAGTCATCATTAAGAAAATGGCAAAACATTATAAAGACTGGCCGAATAAGCTACACTTTGCTCTTTGGGGTTATAAAACGTCCATACGAACTTTAATTGGAGTAACTCCATACTCCTTAATTTTCGGCATGGACGCAGCTCAACCAATTGAACTGGAAATACCATCCCTATGAATCGTTCTCGAAAGTAAGCTACCGAAAGCTGAATGGGTTTGAGCTAGCTATGAAGAGCTTTTATTCCTCGACAAACGACGATTAAAAGCTTTGCATCATGAACAAATCTACCAACAACGCATTGCGTGACATTTTAACAAACGGGTACGACCCCGTAATATTAAAGAAGGTGACTTTGTACTAAAAGAGGTTAGAGGTCCTCCAACTGATCCACGAGGAAATTCAAACCGAATTGGATAGGACCATACCGCGTAATTGAAATTCTATTAGGAGAGGCAGTTAGATTAATGGATATTGGTGGCGATGAAACCTGTCAACTAATAAAAATTGATCGCCTTAAAAAAATACTACATACGAATTCCGGATAAACTCGTTCATTCAAATATTCTAAATCAAATTTCATAGCATTCAAACCAAAGATTCTAAGTGCCATAAATTCTACCGAACTCCACGGTAAAGTTCATAACACTTGGGGGGTGGGGGTAGATCAAAAATAAATAAATGCTCAAAAAAATTCTCGCTTAGGTGTTTCAAATTTACCGAGCCACACGATAAAATTCACAACACTTGGTGGGTAGACCAAAAAAAGAGGTTAATCAAAACGAGCCGTTTAAGTGTTCTGATTTTTTCGAACTCTACGAAAAAAAATTCCTCACACTGGGGGGGGGGGGAGGGTTAATAAGATGTCAAAAACAAATATTTTTTTACTCGTATTAAACCTTGGTAAAAAAAAGAAGCAAAACACTCGTAGCATAGGTTTCGCGCGCAACTCACAAGGTTACGCCTGGCTACCATGCGCAACTAAATTAGTTGCGTGCAGTAGGCACGTGAAACTTCATCGTTGCGCACGCCACCTGATGACGAACTGTGAACCTTAAATTTTACGCTTGAAGAAAATTAATTACGATTTTTACTAGCGATAAAAACAAAGGAGTATTCAATTCTTATATATATTCGGAAAACAAAAATTAAGCTTTGATTTTAATTATTGAACAAAGTTTGATTAAATTTTCATTTAATTCCTACAAGAAGGATTAAAGAAAAACAAAACAAAAAATAAATTTGCACAAGAACTATGTAAGACCTAATTTCGTGATACGAGTACGTAAGCAATTTTTTATCCGGTCAAATAACAACAAATCAAATAAAAGAGCTCTTTTATTCCAAAATATAAATGTGTTCAAAAGTACATCATAGAAATTAGATAGTGATAATAAAAATAAAAAAATAAAAAAAACTTATAGTAGTGATTACACTTTGTTAAAAAAAAAGTACTACTAATAATATTGTGTAAAAGTACCTTAAGGTTTTACTATATCCTCAATCGTGATAGTCGAAGGAGGAGTAATATCCATTGCAGTATTCTCAGCAACCTTATAACTTTCGCCTTCTCCCTTCTTCTTGACCCACACATTATTCTTCAATTTAGGAATAGGAGCCCTTTCTACCCTTTTCCCCTTCTCTTTGGAGTTTGAAGGAGCCTTTTTTCGGGGATTTGAGGATGGTTCTTTAACTTTTATTCCTTGTTGCGCAGTTTGGGAGCAACCTTCCTCTTAGGTTCTCTCAGACGAGCCTTAGGAGATGTGAAAATGTCCAATTTCCTCCTCACTCCTTTGTTTTGGGCATTCGTAGAAGTAGTGGTGGCCGATTGCATTAAAGGCTTAGGTGGATTGCGAGCCAAAGAAGCTTGATTTTGTTGGTGAGCCTTATTCAATTCTCCCTTGTCAGTCGCATTCATCCAAGCCTTGTAAAAGGAAGATAAACCTATGCTTGCGGTGGGATTTTGCACTACCCACTTGGAAGGCTAGTCTAATACTCAATCCAACGGGGAATTCTTTCGGCCTTAAAATTCACATCCTTAAAAGCATCATAATCTAGTGGAGGGATTAGTTGTTTCATCCCGTATTGTCTCATAACCCTGCAAGGAAATATGTAAGTGGTACTAGAAAGGCCCAAGAGGCGAATATAGGAACAATTAGAACTATTCTCAACCATAGTACTTATGTTCCACCAAGGAATCACAGAGCGTATGTTAGGAACCCCGTGATAGAAAAAGGTCATCCATTCTTCTTCATTCTTATGCTTGTACAGAATGCGACGACCAGGGAACAATCTCACTCCATTGGCCTCAAGATTTTGTGGCTGATCAACAATTCGCAAGCGCTCCATGAGCCAAATCTAAAAAAAAAAACAATGAAAAGTTAGATTGTGAATACTGCAATAGCAGGTGGCGCGCGCAAAGGAAAAGTCGCGCGCCATCCGCGCGCAACTGTGGAGGTTGTGTTGGTATGCCCAGCGCAACTTCCATAGTTGCGCGCGCTGACAAGTATGTTAAAATAAAAAATAAAAAATAACAAAATAACAAAATCGTACATGTAAAAGGAGTGGACTTTCGGTGAAACAGTTCTCGTTTGGATCTCCTCTAAGCCGATTCAAGCAAAGCACAGTTACTGCCAAGGCTAGTGGAGCGGGTGAATGACACCCCTCTATTTGCTCTACTATGGAAACCATTGAATAATCTCCATATTCCTTGTCTGTCCTAAGTAAACAATTGACAATAAGACAAAAACATAAAGCATGAATTTTAAAAACGTTGTTTAGTAAAATTGTTTCGAGTTACAAAAATATTCGATGAATTGAATTAAATTCACGCCATGCTCCGTATCAATTATGGCCATATCATTGTCGTTCAAGATAAAATATCGCTGAAAAGCGGGTTTGGAATCTGACAAGGTAGAGGCATAAGTCATAGGGAGAGTATTTGCAGGGAAACCTGGGAGAGCTTCAAACTCGCTAGCTAATGGGATTATTTCATCCCCTTTGAAGAGGAAAAGATGGTGGTTGGGATCCCAATGGTTAACAACGGCATGAAGAAAATCAAAGTTAATGTTGAGTTGCATATAACTTAGTAGTGCGTCAAGGTGGTATATTTTAAAAGCTAACTTATCCTCACTAGAAAGGGAGGTGATCCATTGCTTCAATCATTGCTCAAAAGTTTTCACCATTGTAATATTAAAAATTCTTTTGAATAAAACTAATTGTTGGTGTCGAATAAATGTGAGATGATCAAAAACCTAGACGTAACCATGTTTAAATAGACCAAAATGTTCCGATTTTTGGCAAAAAACTCTCAAAGGAAAGTTCACCCGCAAATGTCGCGCGCAACTCAACCAGTTGCGTGCAACTGATTCTCTAGAGCGCGACGTCCGCGCGCAACTCACGCAGTTACGCGCCTAATTTGTCGCAGTGAATTTTTGGTTATTTCCGTATTTCGCTTAATGAATATTAGAAACTTTTATTATGATTTTATGATTAACTCACACGCTTGCCTTTTTTGTTATTAACTCACACGCTTCCCCTTTCCTTTCTTATTTTATTTTCCTTCTATTATTTTATTTATTTTTATTTTCCTTTTCTTTTTCCTTTTTTCTTTTATTTCTTTTCCTTATTCTTCTCCTTTTTCTTTTCTTTTTCCTTATTCCTTTCCCCGCTTTCTTTTACTTCCCTTTTTTCGTTCTTTTTTTTCCAGGGGAGTAAGTCGGGAACCCTTTCCCTCCCTCGGAAATTTTTGCAAGTTTTTACGCAAACATTTGTGGAAAATAAAATGCGATAAAAGAAAAATGGCGATACATATAAAATACGTCGTATGTACAAAAATCATATACATAAAAAATAAAAATTATATACATTTTTCATAAATAAATAAAAAATATACACAATGGGATCAGGGTGCTTAGAGACTCCCGGAAGGCTGCTGCACATCCTGCAAAATCCAAATCAAAGATTAATACACATTCATGTAATAACTTTGATAAAATTAAAAAAAAATAATTAAAAAAAAAGAAAAAGAGAAAAAAAATGAACACGCACCTCGAGAATATAGTCGTGCCATGAAATGGAGATCCGGGGCACCTCAGTAGCTGCCGCGGAATCCATCACCTGGGTCACCTTGCCCATAGCAGTAAGCATACGGGCATACGACACCTCCGCCCAGCTCAGGTTGCCAACTTGCTCCAACTCACTATGGCAAATAAGTAACCCGATGGCGAAACGCTCTTCCCGATCACTCAAAATAGTGACGGAAAGATCGTGAGCAATGTATATTTGAGCCAGCTGCTCAGGAGTACACTGCTGGTCGACCTCATCAGTTGACAACTCATCTGCAAGAACCAAGTAGGACAGGACTGTGCATACACGTGGAGGGTCGCTGCAAGACGATCCCCCACGAGGTCATGCAGTCTCTCGTCTGACCCCTTCATGTTCTCCAAAACCACGGGTTCTCCTCCAAAAGGAAAACCCGTGATCATGGAGAAATCGTAAAGGGTAACCATCATCTCTCCCCACGGGAAGTGAAAAGTGTTGGTGGAATCCCACCAAAACTTCAACAACCCGCGAAGAAAAGCCAGTGATGCAGGCTGACTCGATAGATCCCGAAGAGCTGCCAGCTGGGGACCAACCCCCGAAAGCTCTATCACCTCCCTCACTGCCTCGGGTAAGCTCTCAAACCGACCACTCATGTCACCCGAGCCATACAGGCGCAGGCTAGGCTCACTCTTAAAAAAGGGAAATTCAATAATGACGCGTTAGAAAAGATACAGAAAAAAAGAAAAGTTAGAAAATAAAAACGCAAAGAAACTCACAATGCCACGCCAACCCTGAATCGAAACATGGTGATCCGGGTCCCATTTAAGGACCTGCAAATCCCAGTTGGGAGGAGCCTCCCAAACCACCTCTTCGTGACGACGTCGCTCAGCACCGACGTGTCACTCTCGACCTTCCTCTTAAGCACGTGTCACCCTCTTTCGAGGGCGAACCGCCTCGTCCGGAACAGGTCCTCCTAAGACCTCCTCGGCATCAACAAACGGGGGAAAATCCATGTTACAATAGATGGAATTTTGAAAAATTACACGCTTGAATATATTTTCTAAGTCCTAAAAAGAAACGTAAGGACGAATCCTATACCCATTTCGACATCATAACGGTTGCAAAAAGGGAAAAACACTAAGTCGAATACCGCCCAATACTTGGGGGCTACGACACCTGCAATTGAACTTAATAAATGAGGGCTCAAACGCCCACAAAGCCAACCTATACCAGTTCAACTAACTATACTAAAGATTATTTCTATAAATCTTGGAAATTAACAGTTCGTAGATGAATAACAATCATCCAAATATAGTTATCGTCTACCAAACAATCATTTTGAAGCTTGAAAATGGCAAAAATCAGAAAAAACATACATTTCGCGCCATTTCTCGAAATCAAAATTTTTAAAATATGGTTCATGAGCATAATTTTAGGCATAACACTATAATTCATCTCATAAACAACATGTATAACCAATTGAGAAAGCAAAACAACAAGATTCAAACTAAAAATTGAAGAAAAAAAAAATGCAAAAAACGAACTTTAATGGAAACATGCTCATACAAGGTTCAATAATTAACCATTTTCCATGAAATTTGTTTCAAAACGCTCCTTAAACATCTCATAACATGTAACAAAAAATTTCAAGGATTATGGACCGAATCGAAAACCCCCAAATTCCAAATTTAGGGTTCTTCGGTTCAAAATTCCCCAAATTCGGCCAAAAACGAGCAAAAATAACAAGAAAACTTAGATTGGATTTTGGAAAACACAGGTGGGATGCTAAATCTCTTTTCTTTGGCTTCAAAAAGCAACAAAAACCGAGCTTAGTAGAGAGAGAAACAGTTGAAAATGGCGAACAAAGGAAGGAGAGAGAACGAACTGAAATCGCGCTCTTCGATCTTCTTTTTTTACTATTTTAAATGTCGTGCACAACTCACTAAGTTACGCGTGACATACCAGCGCAACTCAAACACTTACGCGCACTTGGCCAGCGCGACTTACTTAGTTGCGCGCAGATACGAGTCACTTAAAAACACCGGTATCCGGATTTTGATCCGTTTTAAATTTTTCTAACAGTTTTGTGCATTGTTAGGCGTAATAACGCGTGAATCATCAAAATCCTTTTATTGCTTTGATTTTGTAGTTTATTTTCTTCTTTGATAGTTTTTTGCATCATCTTGCATGCACACTGTGCTTTGTGCCTGCCCTAGGCATACGTTTTGGATGTTTTTCGTGAAGTGTCTTAAAATATCCCGTAGTGGTGCTTTACGTAAGAGCTCTCATAGACAGTTCGGCATTTTCCTGTACTGCCCTTTTAGAAATGTCACGTTTTTCATATTTTTTCCGTTAAAAACAAAAATACCGCGTATCGTACAGCGTAAAATTGTATGGCGTATGTGATGCGTAAAATTGCACTAGCAATGTGATCTGCCACCCGTCAAAAACAGTAGAACTTTTGTTTCTGGTAAGGCGTTAGCTTAAATGAGTCGACGAGCGCGCCGAACCATCGAGGTTAGACTCCCCCTGTTGGAAGCAAATACGGTTAGCTAGGAAGCAATCTAGCTTTACCGGACAGTTAGGGTGTCCATCCACCCCCTGTATAAAAAGCGGCCCCTGCTAAAGCTGCACCCATTTAGACACATCCCCTCAGTCTTGAGACGCGTGTTTTCATCTTGTGGACAAAACTGCTGAGAGAGTTGCCGATTTTCTTCTCTCTCACTGGATTTGGATATGTGCCTCCAGTCCTGAGACATGTATTTTATCTTGTGGACATCAAGTATTTGTTTTGGCTACTTATGTCAATCTTTTATTCAAGTGTTAGGCTACGAATGCTGAAGCACCCCCATTTTATCATCTTTACTTTGTTAAAATTAGGGACTAGAGTTTCGATGACAGATCGAGGGACTTTAGACCGCCGATGACATATTGAGAGGGTATCATCCCCTTTTAATCTTTTTAAACCCAGTACCTTCTCATAACATGACATCACCCAAGACAGCCTTTACTTGTAAAAGTGTTTTATGCTAGCAAAGGGTCAATCTAGATTCTTTAGCACACTAAAACCCGAAAAAACTTTTTCTGGTTTTAGCAGCTACTTGTCTTGAACACTTAGCGAATCGAGAATAGTTTCGACATTCTCAACACTACTGAATGATTCCTTACAGTCTCGGATTTATTTCCTTGGTTACTTTGATCATCGTCTATTTTAGACTCGATCAAAGTAGGGGCTAACTGCAGACATCTACTTTTGGTCCCTTGTCTCGACCGAAAGTGCTATAACGATAGATAATTCCATATTTGTGCTAGATCGGAGTAAGGAATGCTTATGGACTACTAGATAAGGCCTAAACTCATAAAACTAACTAGCTTGACCCAAACGAAATGAACCAAAGCTTTTTAATACTAAGCCCGATTCGAAATTAGGTCTAATCCTGAGATTAAACCTTATTTTGACGAATTTAGAAGTGCCTAGGTTAAAATCTAGGGCTGCCGCAAGAAAAACCGCGCACAACTCAAGGAGTCGAGCTGGCCTGGCGCGCTCATCTCACAAAGTTACGCGTGACACCCAGCGCAACCCCTAGAGATGCGCTTGCGGAAGATTCAAAATTTCATAAATATACTGAATCGAATCTTACCATAAAGCTACGTACAAAACCAGAGGTTGCGCTGCCTAGTGCAGCGTGACCAAATCAGTTGCGCGTGCCACCTGCTGTGGCAAAATGTCCGAAACCCTAAACTCACCCATTCCCTATAAATAGAGGTTTAATACGAGCTTTGAACACACATAAATTAGCCCAAAAAGTCAACAGTAACTTCGTGAACTTATGCAATAATCATCCCTCTTTTCCTAAACACTCACCCTTTAATTGTTTGTTCTTACGTTGGAGGTTCCCGAACAAGAAGGAGTCCATAAGTGTTCTAAACGAAGATCTAGCAAGGAAAAGTGGTAAATTCCCAAGCACTTAGATAAATCAACTTTCTTTTCTTGCTTAAACAACTTTTAACTAATTAATTAGTGTTGTTTGGTCACCTTAAATAAACTTTAATTAATTAATTTCACATAGTATTCTTGCGTTAATCAAGACTAGAATTTGAATAATTAATTGATTGCTTTATCACCTAAGCCAAGGTGAATATTGTTTGTTTCTCGCTCCTTGGGATACAATAATAATAATAGCAAAGAATAACGAGATTCGTTGCAATGCAATCTTTATTAAGTGATCAATGCTTGTAAATAAAATCAACTAACTAAGTTTTAGGTATCACGTTGCATATATTGTTTGGTGATGAAATTGTGAAAAAAGGAAGAGCTATTAGAGGCTGCACTTGGGCTACAATAGCAATTCCTCCTTAATAGGAACGTTATTTTAGTACCTTCGCTCCCGAATTCATGTCTGGTACAAGTATACCAATTTGGGCGTGGGTAAACTTATGATTCATGCTAAATATCCCTTGAACCCTACTTGGGAGAAAGGCATGAACGAGGTCTATGAGTTTTCCTAAAACTCATTGGCGACTCCTTATTAGTTTCTTACAAAAAAGCGTAATGATAGAATCAATTATAATTCAAGGTCCCCAAAACAGTCAGGAATTCAAATCCTAACACACCTTAAAAAAGTGTAAAGTCCTAGGCTTTAGGCCATGGGCATAGAGGAAGAGGATCCCCTACGATGGGCACACCCTCCTCATAGTGACGAAAACAACTATGAAAATAACATAATGGAAAAATACACATTAATACAAATCCAAGAGCAACTTCAATGGTTGTAAAATCTATCAGCTAAGAACTTGTTTACAAATTTTAATTAAATAATCCCTAGCTACTAGCATGCCCATTTGAGCTACAATATGCAATTAGCTTGGTCAAACAAATTTGTTTTGCCAAACTGATTTGCTTGGAAAAAAACTTGTCCAAATAGCGTAAATTAAATAAAATGAAATACAAAAAAGTTAATTAATTAAGTGGAGTTTGTTCAAATAGTAAGCTAATAGCTAGCCGTTGGAGTTCAAAGTAGCTAAAATACCAATTAGTTTAAAAGATTATGTGGCACGGTAAACTAATTTGACAATTAGCTAGTCATTGGAATTGCTCTAATAATTCCCTATTTAATATATTTTTCCCTATAAATTAGCATGCATATAAGGTCAAAGTTTAGTCTCATTCAGATCAAATAAAAAATTATGTTTAAAAATGGTCAGATAAATAAAAATAAGGTGAACAAAACATAGCCTAATTCAGAGATTTTTTTTACTTGATATATCTTATGTTTGAAAATTAAGTTAAAGTATGGGATCAAAGTTATACTTCGTGTTATTAATAGTGTAGTACTGCCCATTTAGTAATTAATGGGTAGTCTAACTAAGTTTTATTACTTTCGTCTTAAAATAAAAATGTTGCAAAACTAGAAGTCTTGCAATTGAGGCACAGTAGTATACCAACCTACCGCTATAAGCTAATAAGCCTATATATACAATCCTATAATAAGTGAAATCTCACCATTCAAAAATCATACATATAAATACTCCTCTTTAGGCAGCCAACGTTCTCTACCTCCAAAGTTCCATAATTAACCAATACCATGTCTAACGAACAACCAAATGTTAATGGCATAGGAATAATAAAATTCCTTAAGCACAAGAATTTCTT